TCTTACGCTTTTTTCTTATTAGAATATTTTCAATCTTATGCGTGTTTCTTATTAGAATATTTTCAATCTTACGCTTGTATCTTTTAGAATATTTCAATCTTACGCTTTTTTTTTATTAGAATATTTTCAATCTTACGCTTGTTTCTTATTAGATTCTTCTCAATATTACGCATGTTTTTTATTAGAATATTTTCAATCTTATGCTTGTTTCTATTAGAATCTTTTCAATCTTACGCTTGTTTCTTATTAGAATCTTTTCAATTTTATGCTTGTTTCTTTTGGAATATTATTAATCTTACGCTTGTATCTTTTAGAATATTTAAATCTTACACTTTTTTCTTATTAGAATATTTTCAATCTTACGCGTGTTTCTTATTAGAATCTTTTCAATCTTACGCTTGTTTCTTATTAGAATATTATTAATCTTACGCTTGTATCTTTTAGAATATTTAAATCTTACACTTTTTTCTTATTAGAATATTTTCAATCTTACGCGTGTTTCTTATTAGAATCTTTTCAATCTTACGCTTGTTTCTTATTAGAATCTGTTCAAAATTACGCGTGTTTCTTATTAGAATCTTATTAGAATATTAGAATTATTACTTATTAATTTACTTATGAATACTTTTTCTTTCAGTGAGACAATTTAATTATTCGAAAATTTGAAGGGTGACATATGTTTGAAATTTGTGACAACAGCTGGAATAAAAATCAAAATATGATACCAAGCGCGGGTAAACGGCGACTTTAAATAAAAATATAACACTCTAGCTAGTATATGATAAAACTTGTGAGTCTAATGCAATCAAATTAGGAATATTATATTTAAAGATAAATTAAATTAAATTCCGAGATATTTAGTAAAAATTGATTTATTTGCGTTTCAATGTAGCAATTAGATATTAATAGACAGATAAATGAAAAATGAAAAATTCCGAATTTTTCAGAATCTAGATTTTTTGTTTTGTTTAAAAGGTTTATGATATTAGATCGTTAGAACAGAAATATATCCCCGCCCGCTCAACCCTCTCAACATGAAAACAAAACAAATAATTAGTTCGCATACTGTCATGCAAATAATTAGTTTGCATACTGTCTTAGTTCGCATACTGTCATGCAAATAATTAGTTCTCCTACTGTCTTAGTTCGCATACAGCCATGCAAATAATTAGTTTGCATACTGTCTTAGTTCGCATACTGTAATGCAAATAATTAGTTTGCATACTGTCTTACTTCGCATACTGTCATGCACATAATTAGTTCACATACTGTCTTAGTTCGCATACTGTCATGCAAATAATTAGTTCGCATACTGTCATGCAAATAATTAGTTCGCATACTGTCTTAGTTCGCATACTGTAATGCAAATAATTAGTTTGCATACTGTCTTACGTTCGCATACTGTCATGCAAATAATTAGTTCGCATACTGCCATGCAAATAATTAGTTCGCATACTGTCATGCAAATAATTAGTTCGCATACTGTCTTAGTTCGCATACTGTCATGCAAATAATCCTACTTTTTCCGTGTACGTAGAACTAAACTTACGTACACTGTATTACTTACGCGGTTTCTCGGCACTTAATTGTCCACTAAATAAATAAGATTATCTGTGAAATCCTTGAAAAAAAGGTTTAAAAGGTATCGTTTTAAATCGGACATGCCACTCTATAAATAAAACATAATAATAAATGGAAATGATGCATCATGTGCTTTTAATATAAATGTTATTTAACGTACTTCATCCAGTTTATCATGTACGCTGTACTTCTTTATATAGATAAAAATCATCCCACAAGGAAGTTAAACAGCTTTTTAAATCAGAATTTTGAGGAAGTCAGGTTTCGGCTGGTAGAAATACAGTACAGTGTTAGATCTACATAATCTGTGTACAGCTAACCATGTAATCTATATAACCTGTGTACAACTAATCATGTGATCTAAATAATATGTGTACGACTACTTATGTGATCTATATAATCTGTGCACAACGAACCATGTGACCTAAATAATCTGTGTATACAACGGACCATGTGATCTATATAACCTGTGCACAACTAACCCTGTGATCTATATAATCTGTGTACAGCTAACCATGTGATCTATATAATCTGTGTACAGCTAACCATTTGATCTATATAATCTGTTTACAGCTAACCATGTTATCTATATATAATCTGTGTACAGCTAACCATGTGATCCATATAATCTGTGTACAACTAACCATGTGATCTATATAATCTATGTACAACTAACCATGTGATCTATATAATCTGTGTACAACTAACCATGTTTAGTATCAGTTCATCTATTCTCTATTAACTAAAGTTATGTATAATCAATTCAGAATTATCATAATATCTTCATTCTTTATTATACATTCATATTCTCCCATGTATATTTATATATATATCTTTCTTGTAGAGATGGGAAATAAGGAGTTTTATAGTTCCCATTATATCCTATAACTAAATTGGAAATATACATAAGTCGACCAATTCACTTTAGAATTTTAAAAAACTAATCTAAGATTCCTGCAATTCTAGCGAACTTAAGATAAGATAAGATAAGATAAAGTTTATTGCTAAAATAAATGTATCTGTATACAGATAGAGTTTACAATCACAAAATTGATGATTATATTAACAGTACAAGTATAAAGAAATTAGGTGGAAAATAGCTCTTGGCTGTTTTGATTATTTTTTCCACCTAATGTTAGTAATAATAACAAAATATTTCAATTAAATAGATTTAAGGAGAACGATTAGAGATCAGGGTGCGAATTTATCATATGCAAAATAGTTTATACATAAATTCGAATAACTAGAGTTTAAAGTAATTTTCGTACATGTACCAAACAAATATCAAGCATATTAAAACATATCTAATTAGTTTTACATGAATAGCAATTCGGTTTATAACACATTGTCCTATAATTTTCAAAAAGAGAATTTAGTAGTCTATTTTTAAATATACTTAGAGAGTTGCTTCTATTTAAGTCAAGAGGCAGGTTATTCCACATCTTAAGAATACAAATACAAATTTGAGTTATGTTAAGACATACAAACATGCATAAAAAGAACTATACTACTTTATCAGCATAGATATTTCGTGTCATTCCCTAGCAACAGCGCTCGGCCTTTGACCTTTTCTAGCTTTATTTTTAGCTTTATTAGCCCTAGGAAGCCTGACGTAATACTAACTAATAATTCAGCATACTAGACGCAGCGCTCGGTCCCTTTTCAAGTCTAGCGATTGAAACCCTGGCCTATATACTAGACGCTGCACATTTTGCAGGTATATATGTGTAATATTATTTAGGTATATTTGTAATATTATATTAGGTATATATGTAATATCAAATTAGGTATCGAATAAAATGTTCATACTCTTGTAACTATTTTGAGTAAAATGTTCATACCAGGGGGGATAATAGTTTCATACCTGTGTACTCAGTTAGCTGTACAGAGCTGAAAACTTTAGAATGTGATATCCTTAATCCCGATCTGTTAACTAATCTGGAGATTAGATTCATGAGGAAAACAAGCAATATTTAATCTGGAGATTAAGAAAAAGAGTGGATCAAGCATTAATCCCGATATCCACCATTCTAAAGTTCCCAGCTCTGTACTCTTAGAACTGTTTACTAATATTGATATAACTATAGGTTAGGCCAGAATCTCCTTATAATAAACAAATATGCAGTACGCTCTCAGTATAGTTGATGCCCTATACAATTTTTAAAGGATTAGCGTACATTATCACTCTATACACTATAACTTCGTTGGTTTATACTCTGGAAACTATTTCGAATAAAATGTTCGTATTTCTTCTAATTAAACTGTATATGCCCATCTCTAGTTGTATTAATAAAACAAATGAATACCAATGGGGCATAATAAACCAATAAATCACTTAATGTTTACAAACTTTATTTACATACACAACTATACCCCTTAAACAGACAAACAGAGATTACAACTTTATATATAAAGAAGATGAGCGAAGAGCTTTATTATATATTATTTATCCCCATAAAACTCCGCTATCAGTCAATGACAGATTAGCTACATTTTTCAAAGATTATGTACTTAAACGCTTTAGATCCAAAAAAAATTTAATTCTGGAATTTAAGTTTAGGTGCTTGTAGATTAGCGGTGTTTTTGTCAAAAATTACTATCTCTGTTTTTTGGAGACTTGAAAGTGTACAATGCATTTACATTACAAATATGTATGTAATATGTATGTACTATTCATGTATATGTTTGTTTGTTTGTTTTTCCGATCATAACTCAGGATCCCCGGGACCGATTTGCCTCATATTTTGATTGGGATATTCTGGGGGACCACGGGAATGTTCTTAGCTTGGGCTTGAGATTCTAAGATGAGTGGGTCGACTTTAATAGCGAAAATGTTGTACCCCGGTAAAATTTTTAAAGTGCGGGTAAACAGCGGGAGTAACTATGAGTAACATGGTCAACTCTGGGTTCAAAAGCTGGTTTATTATATATTTGTTTGCATGCATATATAAATATGTTAGCTATAGCTAGATTGCAAAATTTTTATTATTAATAAATTTTTTTTAAATAATTTTTTTTCAAAATAAATTTTTCTTTCAAAGTTTGGTTATTTTTATTTCCCGCGGCCAACTCTGGGAACTATCACTAGTTATGGATAAACTGAGTAAGTGATAACTTTTAAATTAATGAAATGAACAAAGGAGCTGAGCTTTGTCACAAACTCAATTTTTGTTAACCGTTTATCTTTGCAATTTGGTGGTGTAAATCTTTATAAGTCAAACTTAGATTATTTGGTCCAACATTATTTATAGTTTGAAATATCAAAAGTCTACGACATTAATTTGCAATTTGCAAAGATATAGGGATTAGTAAATCAGAGTTTGTGACAAAAACTCAATTCCTTTATTTTTTTCTTTTCTCTCTTCTCTCGGGGATTTACTCTCATTTGTTTATTTGGTTGGAGGGCATTTGGTTTATTAAACATGCCTCTTAATTGAATAAAGAGTTAATATTGAATATATTTTATTATTTAGAGAGATCGCATTCTGTGGAAGGGATACAAGTCATCAGCACCTAAAACAAAATATTTATAAATAAGAAATATACAGGGTTACCCAAAAAGAATAAGATTTCAGAGACGACTACAGTGTAAACACTGTAGTTTGATTGTCTTCCAGTCTGTTCGTTTGTATTTAATAAACGTAAAAACGGCTGAACCGATTTTTTTGTGGGTCAAAATTTGAAAAGAAAGCCTTGACATTTAGATTGTTAAAATCCACGTAAATAAATGGATAAATCTGCTAAATTTTTTATGTTATTTATTCTATAATTTAAGAAGAGAAAATGAGATAATACAGATAAATCAACAAAGATGGTTGCAAAGTACCCTGGAAGAGAAAATGCTAGATAATACAGATAATGCAACAAAGATGGTTGCAAAGCACCCCGGAAGAGAAAATGCTAGATTATACAGATAATGCAACAAAGATGGTTTCAAAGCACCGTTGACGCCTAGTTTATTAAATTGTTCACGTTATCATAGATTCAGCCTGTTTATGAACAGTCTTATCAATCTTTAAGACTGGGTCAATTTTGAAATGTCGCAACGCCTTGGACTTAAATTTTACCGCTCTAACTCACTTGCTTTACATGTATATTTTAGCACTATAAACCACTTGCTGTTAGATTTGGTTTTTAAACAGTAATTGGCAAAATTCTCAGAATTCAATAATTTTATCTTTCTTTAATTTGATCTCATGTATTGTTGACCCCCAGTATTCAATATAATTCATTTTCTTTCTTAATCTATAATTCATGTGATAAAAAGTTTCTCATTTTGTTCAAAAACAATTCTTATACCAAATCTAGTATTTTGGGAACCTTGTTGATGTCAGTATTTTCCACATACTTAAAATCAATTTGTTTTAAATACTTAATTTTTTATATTCAAATTTAATGTTGAATTTTGCATTTTATAATATATGCTGATATTTAGCTTTTTTGCTTTTTGCATAGTTTATGTTAAATTACAGAGGATAACAAAAAATTGATTAACCGATTTAGGAAATTACAAAAACCTTTGAAGTTTAAAAGAAAACTTGACTTTGAAAATATGAATATTTTTACATACAGGGTGTCCCACTAAACATGGGAATTTTAGAGACAACTTGAATATCGTCTTTGATTTCCAAATATTCAAAAATTACACAAAGTGCATCAAAAAAAGGTAGAAAGTCTTAAAAGCTTTCCAAAATGTGTTCTACCTTCTTTGTATCTTGAAAATTAACGGAAATATAAAGAATTTGAACAGTTTTATTGGTTTTTAAATATTAATAAACATGAATCTGGACAAATTTCCTAACAGGTCCGCCAATTTTGAAGATGAAGAAATGGAAGACCACATTTTGGAAATCCTGAGACTAGCAGTTTTCGACGTTCAATGTTTTAACTGAGATACTACAAAATTAAGTTTACGAAATAATCTCGCCTAAAGAAAAGACAGTGTAAAAGTCCCATGTTTATTGCGACACCCTGTATCATTTCAACCATCTGGGACATTTTTGTACGATAGAGGGCACCTAAATTCTATTTCCAAATTGATCAAAATATCATTAAAAAAGATTCACCTAAATTTGATTTTCTTTTTATTTTGCCTGGTCTCTGTTGAAGATTTAGCTGAGTGCCTTTAGATTTGTTTCGCACAATTTGATTGATTCTTTCTTCCATAGTCTAAACATGTCAAATACATTTTTGTCATGATATACAGAGTTAACCACAAAGAACTTGACTGTACAGACGACCTGAAAATCTTTAAAATATTTGGTTGAATTAACTATTCTGCCGTATAGTGTTTTAAAACACATACTGAATGATTTGGTAAAGAAATACAGTTTACAATTGCAGGGAATCATGAATGTAAGGAAACAGACACCATAAATTCCGTACAGTCGTCTCTACAGTCTCATCCTTCGTGGGTAACCTTGCATTTAAAGAAATGAAGCAAAACTGTAGGAGTTTATTTTAATGTATTTTCTTTTTAATTTTATGTTACCTTAAGTGTAGTAAGGAAAGGAGCTGGCGTTGTGAAAATTGGAAATATTTTAAATATTTCTTGTCTTAATATCCCGCCAATAGATGGAGCTGAGATCACATCTATTTTTTCCATTCCTGCATTAAAATAAAATTAGAAATTGTGTTTAAAAAAAGTCAAAAGCCGTCCATCGTTAAATCAAAAGTACCGCATGGTTAATTGTTAAAAGTCGCCTACCCTTAAATTTCAAAGCTTACGCAAGTTAAAAGTCACTCATCCTGAAGTCAAATTTTTAACAGCGATATTTCAAATGACCCTTCACGAAAAGATTGAAATGTCCTATTTCTACTGCAAAATAAACAACATTTTTGGTAAAAATTAGCGATATTCTGGGAAGCTGTAAATTTTTACTGTGAAATAAGCGTTTTTTTTTGTGTGTAAAAAATAAGCGATTTGTTGTCGGAAATAAGCAATTTTGTGTCGCTTATTCGGTAGTCTGCACCAACGTCACCCTAAATATAAATTTAGTACAGAATTTTCGAAATGTCCTTTTTCTATAAGCATTATCGATATTCTTACTTGAAGTGTTAAAACCCAGCGTGTTTTAAAAAATATCTCATATAACAAATTATCACGTATCTAAATATGTTCATGTAACTGCATGCAATTTGTTTTCTATTAGTATCACTAAAAAATGTCGCCCTAAACATTATTCGTAGAATTTTGAAACATGTAATGTGTAATGTGACATGTTATACCCCGTAATGTTTTTTATTCTTTTCTACAATTGTGTTTTACATATAATATTTAAAACACAATTCCGTAACTTCCCCCAGCGGGAATAGGGTTAAAAAGAATTAAAAAACTTATAACCATATAAAAACGATAATTTCTCTCAAATCTTCAATCAGGTATAAAGGTTTCAATAGTACCGTTGTGAATCGAGCATTTCCATATCTTTGCATGGCTTGTCATATGAATTTACGCTTACAGTCTTTTTTAATGAAAGTTCGATAATTTACCTTTTATTTCTGGTTCTGATTTAATTTTTCTACTTGAATGTTTGTGAGCAGCTGAAAAGAATCTTGGAAAATGTGTTGATGGTGGAAGACTTGGGATTAATGTCACAGCTGTCTTTTCAGTATATTGATATTCAGCAGGCCCAAGCTGAGTTTCAAGATCTTTATTCAAGTAAGTTCCATAACTTTCAGCTTCTATTAAAGTGTCTTTTGAAGGTTTACCTATTTCCTTCTGGTGTGAAATTATTTTTACATTTTGGATTTCGTTCATTTTAGACCCTGCTGTTTTCTGGAAGTCCTTTCCAAGTGAATACATGTTGGAGTAGGCAGAGCTTTTAATTTTATTCAACGGTTGAATTTTTGCTGCAAACTTTGTGGTTTCCTGTAAAATTATCAAATCAATAACTGAAAAAAGTCCAAGGACAGAGGGAATCAAACTAAATTTAGTCGCCGTCGTATATATCTATACAATGAAGACGACTTTCCATAAACATGGAAACAAAGAGAAACTATCAATTAAGAACTTCTCTTTAATAATTTGAAAAAAGCTCGTTTGAAATCAAAACCTAATTAGAAAGTCGTCTTCGTTGTATTAGTATAAACGCTGATTATACATTTCAAAGTTCAGTGTGAGTAACAAAAAGAAACGGGATAACCATTGTCCTGCAAAACAATAACTACCAATTTTTTTCTGTTTTAATGCTTATTAGAAATATTAAAATTTAGCTATCCCTGTAGACTAATATAGTGCTGTTTAAGAGAAATAAACAAAAAATTTAAAATTTATATCTGGAGAGATTACGAATTATAAATAATTTCAAAATTTACAACTGAAGATTACGATTAATATATGTTTTCTTACACATTTTCAGTATGGCAGAAAGAAGGGGGGAGGGGAGACATGTTTTAGAGTTAAAATGATAACGATCATGATTTTTTATGATTATCCAATTTAATAGAATATTAATCAATCTATTTCATAAACCTCAAACTCATCAGATATTTTTCATTGATAAAAACTTCTTGTTGTTTCCACCTTTTTCCTGAAGGAGGAGGCTGTGGTATAGATCCGACTCTTTGGATTTCCCTTAAATACCGAGCCTGGGACCGAATTTAATAAATCAGAGAGGTCGCTATACCTACCTACCGTCAGTTCAAATCATAAAACATTGGCTTAAATCCTCGAGAATCTTAGAATCTTAAACCAGCAGTAGGTAGTTCAGCGACCTAACTCAAATTTCTTATATTCGGTTCCTGGAAGTTTTGGTGGAAACCGGGTTTTATTTGAAGCTTCTGAATTCCTATAGAAAGAAAATATTAATCATGTAGATAGATACACAGTTAGAACCAGAAAACTCTGAAAAAGTAAGACGACTTTCAGAATAAATTTATGGTGTTAGGTTAGATCCCCAACGCAACTTCCCCAGTCACAACTTCCCCGAGACATCTTCCCCTTCCCCAACAGCAATTTCCCCAACAACCAATTTGTTGTATTCCGGATTGTTTGGTATATGAGCGAACAGTCCCTTGAATCCAACAGGAAGCCAGATGAGTCAGTACATCCCGGACCGCTGCAGCGTAGACACAAGTCGCACTGCACATAGCCGTCCAGGGACCTGTGCTACATATAGCGCACAGAAAGCTTACAGAGAGTATCCTTGTGGACGAGATCTACATTGAAGAAG